ATGAAATTAATTAAATATTAGTACATTTTAAAATGAATACTGTTTTTTAGAGTATATTTCAAAAGTAAAACGTGACAGTCGAACGATCATTCATACATTACGAATTCTTAGCGCTTCAAGTGATGATGATGGAAGTTATTCGTGTAAAACAATTGATGCACCAGAATCAATTCATATGTTACACGTTAATACAAGTATGCCCTTCTTCATTTATGAATAATTAATTCGATTAAATATATATTTTGCAAATTATCAAAAAGAAAAATTTCAATTAAAATCAAATTGAATAAATTTTATTCATTTTACCAGTATTTACCAAATTATTTTATTGCTAATACTGTAAATTAAAAATTTAACTTACAAAAAAAATCATTTAAAATTATTATAAATTATAATATTAATCAAAGATTTACAGAATTACTGTATTGTCTATATTTGAGTAATTTAGTTCATTTTTCACCTGTTTATTTTAACCTCATATCATCAAAATGCTATACTAATTAATTGTTCTATTTGTGTGTGTGTGTTTTTTTTTAATATATTCTTTTTCAACCGTTCCAGAACAGAAACTAATTTGCATTGAAATTCAATGGAATGAATTATGTTGGTTGGAGCAAATAAAACTTATTGCTAACTCAAATTTTTTAAATCAAATTTTATTATATAAAATATTATTCACAAAGATTATAATCTCAATTGAGATCATTTTTTTTTGAAAAAAGGAAATTAAATTAAAAAACAAAGAAAGAAGTGTAATTGATTTCGAGTAATAATTCTCTTTCTATACTTAATATCAGTTTATTTTATAAATTCTGCAAAATTATCATGAATTTTAATAATTTTTGATCAAAATTTTATCCAATAATAATTACTACTTGATGATGCTAGTGATATGATTTTGTAGTATAAGTTTTATTTAAAATTCATTCGTACCATGAAATTTAGTTTTTTATTCTTCAAAAAAAGATAAAGTAACTAGTAGATGAAATTGAAAAATTAGTTAATAAATGAATTTAACGATGGTTTTAGAAACATTTCATCGTACGGATAGGAAAATTTAAATTTATCATAACCTGTAATATCAAATTTCCGAAATTCCATTCCGGAAGTGTTACTTGCTTTGTTTCTTTCAGACTTATCCGTACGCAACGATAGCCGAGCAATTCAAAGGATATCTTGGCCTTTATTTATACTACTTTTTCTTCTTATTTCGCCTTATTTAAATTTT